CTCCCATCTCTCCTTCAAAACTCTGCTTGTCAGCGTCACCGGCGACCTCCATCTGGCTAAACCCAACGGCCAGTTCCCGATCCTCACCTTACTTGACCTGCAGCAGCATTTGACATAGTTGGCCACTCTCTTGTCCTTGATAAACATCCTTCACTTTGCTGCCGGGACAGCACCACCTGCTTTCGGTTACCCTCCCATTTCACTAATGATCCTTCTCAGCCTCCCTTTCTAGCTCCAATTCGTGGAGTCCTTGATCTTCCCTCTCTCCTCGCTCCCTTAGTGATCTCATCTAATCTCATGTCCTTAAAGAGCACCTAAGATTCACGTTTCTTATTGCCTATTTGACATGTCCACTCAGATGTCTAATAAAAATTATGAATTTCAACAGGTCAGACTGAACTCCTGGTTGACTTCCTCCCACAGCTTACTCCTCCCTCACTTTTTTTAAAAAAAATATCATCGTTTATGGCAACTCCATCTTTCCATTTGTTCAGGCCAAAGACCTTGGTATCATCCTCGTCTCCTCTTATCCTCTCACATCCATATGTGATCTGTCAGGAACCTGTTGGTTCCACCTTCAAGATACATCCAGAATCTGACCAATTCTCCCCTCCTTCACTGCTAGCACCGTGGATTACTTCTACCTTTGTCCACCCAAGGTTTAGTCTCAACCCGGCAGCATCCTTTGAAAGCAAGTCAGATCATATCAATCCTCTGCTCAGAACCCTCCAGTGACTTCCAACTCAGAGTAAAAACTAAAGTCCTTACAGTGGCTACAAGGCTCTAACTGTCAATGCTCCAAACTCACCTTCTCCTTTCTTCCCCCTGCTCACGCACTTCCACCCACACTGGCCTCCTTGCTGCTCTTTGAACACATCAGACTTCTGCACTGGCAGTTTCCTCTGCCTGGAACATTCCTCCTCCAGATATCTGCACAGCGCACTCCCTTACTTCCTTCAGGTCACTGCTCTGAAGTTACCTCTCTAGGAGGCCTACTCAAGCATTCTGTTGAACACTGCAACACCTACCCACCCAGCATTTTCAGTCCCCCTAATTCTGCTCTACTTTGTCTTTATTCCTCAATATTTAATGTCTTCTAATATATTATGTAATTTACTTATTTATTATGTCAGTTTTGTACTGTTTTTCTCCCCCTTCTGTTATATAAGCTCCCTGAGGGCAGGAACCTTTGTTTTGTTCACCACTGCAACCCAAGCCCCTTGAACAGTGGCTGACATAGAGTGAGTATATGCCCAGTAGTGTCTGTGGAATGGATACATCCCTGGTGCCTAGCACAGGGTATAGCATACAAAACAAGCTAATAAATATTTAGTGAGTGAATGTAATGTAAATTCCAGAGAACCTGATTTAGTGAGGAAAGCTTCCTGGAGGAGAAAGGCTTGGAAGTGGACCTTAAAGGTTGAATCAGACTTAGAAAAAGAATGAAAAAGGTGAGGAAAGAGAGAGACAAGATCCGTCAGGCCTGAGACTGACTTGAGCAAAGCCCTGGAGGTTGGATTTTCCCAGGAGGGTGATGGAAGCCACTGAAGGCCCCTGACCAGGGGAATCCCAGCCTCCATCAGTACAGGGTCGGCTGTGTCTTTAGGAGGAGCATTTGGAGGCCCGCCCTTCCCCCGCTCCCCTTCAGGTTCAGCTCACGTGAGGGGTCGCTCTACTCGGCTGCCCTGGCCTCCGATCACCTCTCCCAGGGCCAGGAACGCTTGTCCCAGGAAATCCTGCGCCGGGATACAGAGTCAGCGGGGCGAGGACCGGCTGGCGGCGCAGAGTCCCAGCCCAGCCCTGGTGACGCTGCTGCACTGACCACGGCGACTGTAGGCAGCGGTACCACGCGGCCGGGGCTTTAAAGGAGGCGCGGGGTCCCCAGGAAAGCTGCCCTTCTTGGTCCTGCCATCACTTTAAGCCAAGATACCATCCCACCCCTCGCCTTTCACACACCACACATGTCGCCCCCGCCCAGCCCCGTTCAGCCTCACCTTCTGAGGGTCCCAGCAACAGTCGAGAAGGAAGAGTAGCAGTGAGTAAGAGGCACAGGCGGGAAACCGAGGCAGGAGCAGGAGAGGAGGGCAGGGAGGGCAGGTTCGGGGCCGAAGAAGGTCGAGTCGGGTTTGAGGGGGAGGAGGGTTCTAAGGAGGGTCGTTTAACACACACTGAGCGCCGCCTGTGTGCCCAGCCAGCCCGTGAGTGAACGGTCGCTCACCGGTTTGGAGATGTTGGTTCTGGAGTCGACGTTGTACCTGGGAAGAGAGTGGGACCAACATGGGGCGGGGCTGGTGGGAGAGCCTGGGAAAGGAGTCAGATTTCGAGTCCAGGTTAAAATTGTGGGTGGAAGGAGGGGCAGCCTTGCACCCGAATTCAACCTGGACTTCCTTTTGGCAGGAGTCGGCGTCATTGTGAGTCAGACCCGGGGCGAGGCCAAGTTCGGGGTCTGCTGGGGGCAGGATCACGTCAGAGGTAGGGCTTGGGAAGGAGCGGAGGGTTGGATCTGACCTAAGGGCAGGGCCAACCTAGACTTGTGGGCGGAGCTAAGGCTGAGCCGAGCCCTTCAGAGTGCCACAGAACCGGGCTTGGGGGTGGAGCCAGGCCGGGGGTGGGGGGTGGGGCCCGCGTGGGGGCGGAGCCAGCCGGAATTTCGGGCTGATCGAGGTCGGGGGGCGGTCCAAGCCAGATCCGGGGCGGGGCTCACACATCGAAGCGCAGGTTTTGCTTTTCCTCGAAGAAGTAGTCGAGGACGAATTTGCGCACGAAGTCTGGGTTCAGCGTGTTGTCGATCACCTCGGTCCGTCCGAACTGAATGGAGAGCGGAGAGTCAGCGCGAGGCCTGTAAGGGGGCAGGTGGTTCCCAGGGGCGGCTCCGGACTGGCCAAGGGTTCTAGGACTTACCTCCCGCCACTCTTGGCTGGCCCGGCTCTGCGTGTAGAGCACCACCACTGCAGGCGGGAGCGGGGGCGGGGAGGGAAGGACTTCAGGTCGGCCCGCACCCCCTCCCCGCCCCTCAGTCTTTCCCGGACCCCAGGTTCCCTCCCTCCTGGCCCTGGTGCCGCCTACTGGGGTCGGACTTGGAGAAGGTGTCGAGGTCCAGCAGGTTCCTAGAGAAAGGGACAGACAGACGGACACGGGGTGGATCATTCTGGAGCCCATCGCCTCGAACCTGCCCAAAGATGGGCACCTGGGGAGGCACGGGGCTCACATCACACTCCCCTCCCCCGTTACTACCTCCGGCTTGGGTGTGTGTGTGGGGGGGGGGCGCGTTATCAGCACCCTGGACAACACCGGAAATCTGCGCCCAAGAACCGTTTCTCTGCGGACTGGACTGCCTCCAAGGGTCCAGGAAAGAGGGCTAGCCCCCAGAACTTTGCCCTCCTGCGGCGCAGATCCTACTGGACCCCCGAGACCCGTCCCTTGAAGCCGCAGGCTGAGCCCTCTTTTGTAGTCGGAGCTGTTCCAGGAAACCCCCTTCCCGAGTCCGCTAGCGACTCCCCTGAGTCTGCAGCCGCGATTTTCCTTCCCGAATGCTGCTTCCCCAGCGGTCTAGCCCCTCTCCGCGTTGAGCCCCGGAGCTGGGTGGTGCTGGGGCAATGCCTAAGCCCTCCCCAGCGTGGCCCGCTCACCGGCAGGACACGGTAATTTCAATCTTGGTGGCCGGGACGCTGCGCTCAGAGGCTCCGCTGAGCGACATGGCTGGTCGGCTAGCCGGAGCTGCGGCAGGCTGCGAGACGGGGGCCGCCGGAGCTGCTAGGGGCGGCGGCGGGGTCGGCCCATGTGCCGCCGCGGCGCTGGCGGCGGAGGCTGCACTCCCTCCAGCCCTGCGCGCACTCTTGCTGCTTGCGCCTTCACTGTGGCCGGCGGCGCAGCGGCTCCAGATGGCAACACAGCCCCGCCCGGCCCTGCGGGTGGCCCCCACCCCACTGGAGCAGCCTCGAGCAGTCCAAGAACCTTACACAGATTCGAACTCCAACCCACAAGGTGGGAGAGTCCTCCCAGCACGTTTCCCCGGGGCCAAAGCCAGTGCCCCCCCACATCCCCGCGAGCTGTCCCCGAAGCTGAAGGGTTCCAGATACCTGGTGGGCGTTGGGGTCGATTCCTCTTCTTGAGCCGCTCGCTCAATCTGTTTCTCCTCCTTCCCACTCCCGTCCTCCCTCCCTCAGTCTCTGAAGAGTTACACATTTGCGTGACCTTGGGCAAGTTACTTAACGTCTCTGTGGCTCAGTTCATTAGTAGAATGGCCATTAATAGCACCTATTCGGGGTGTTGTAAAATTTCATCGAGAATAATCCACAGAAAGGAGTTAGCACAGGGGATTGTACACAGTAAATACTCAAGAAATGTTCACCAGCATTATTTCCTTCTTGGCATTCACACTGATGACCTCTTTTGTGTTTAGAGTCAGAGGTCAGTAAATGGTGGCTGTTACAGCACTGTGCAAAACCTTTTGTCCATGTCCTTGAACCCGCATGACTTCATGGTGTTAAGAGATGCAGACACACTCTGTGAGGATGCAACCCACTCCAGGTCACACGGTAGGTTGTCAGCCAGGTCCATCCTCCCCACATCACCTACTACCTCCAAAGCCCTGGAAGCCAATCCCTCACCGAAGGAACGCAGGGGCTGCAGGTCACCTGTACCAGTCTGCTAAACTTGTTAAAAATGAAGATTCTCCCCACACCCTTCCCAGCTAAATGAAACTCAGCAACTTCAAGTCTGAATTTCAGGCAGCCCTGGAAATCTGCATGGATAAACAGGCTCCCTAGGGAGGACTAGGGCCCACTCAGGCCTGAGGACCACTGCTCCCACCTTAACAGCCTGTGACTACATGTCCCCGTCTCACTGGAGACTCTCATGGCTCAGGAGTTAAGGGGAACACCCAAGTCTCCAGTTCCCTTCCTGCTTCATCTGTACCCCTCCCCCCAGCAAAAAGAAGGACAAGGAGAACCTTCTAAATAACTCCACAAAGACAGGAGCCAAATGATAATGCGATAGAGTAGCTGTTCAAAAAGGCTTTGATTTCATTTTGTGATCTGTGTCAAAACTGCCTCATTCTCAGCGCGGGTGACCCCTCCTCCCCAGGAGACGAGAATGGAAAGTGGGGGTCTTTTGTGAAGTCTCGGCCTCCACAAGGCCCCAGGGAAACCCCACATAGTTCTGAGAGTTGACAGGAATCCTGGCAAAGACTAAGGTGGGTGGGAGGCAGTGACAAGTAGGGTGGCGGACACCAGTCAGGAAGCTGGGGTGGGGGAGAACCCCGTCCTTGGCCCTGCTCAGCCTTGGGGCTGCCATGTGCATGATGGAGAAGGGGAGATTTCCCCCCACCTTGAAGCACCCCTTGGCTGGGCATGGCTTTGATTCCGCTTAGGGCTCAGGTGAGAGAGGAGCAGGAAGCTGTCATGAGCTGGCTGCTTCATAAGGTGCTGCTGCTGGTGCCCCGGAGTCCAACACCACGGACAAACTGCTCCAGCAGGCCGATGGCACCGGAGGGACTGGGGGCTGCTGCCCGAAGCCCCACTGTGCTGCTGTAGGCAGCCAAGAAGGCTGAGCGCACCTCCTGTAGCCGAGTCTCCCGTTCACTCAGGGCTGTAAGCCTGTGCGGAGGGAGGGAGGGAAAGAGAGAGAATTAACGCATTACCCTGGGGCAGGATCCAACATTCTCATCCTGACGCCACACTGCCTATCCTTCTGCATTCCTCAGTAGAAGGCCAGCATCTGCCCCGTGGCCATACTACCCTTGTGGTTCAGGCCCCAAATGTTTGGCCCTGTTCCTCTTTTAAACTCTCTCTCAGCTCTCAGGCTGCTGTTCCTACCTGGAGAGGCCAGAGCCCTCACCTTCAGTCACTGCAGTCCCCAGGTAAACAGCTAGGAAGGTGCTGGCTTTTCCAGCAGGACTTCTTTTCTCATTCTATCTGCTTTTCCTTCCCTGGCCTCTACAGGCACTTATCACAAGTCAAGAAGGGGAACAACAAGTGTGAATTCCACGTAAGGCTGTTTGATGACTTGAAGAGTCTTTAATAGAAAAGGCCTGAGATACCAGCCACGCCCAACCTCTGGACTCAACCTCTGAAGTCTAGGGGTAGGAGGGACACAGAATTAGAGGAAAGGTCACAGACCCACATGAGATGAGCCCTCACATTCCCATCTACCTAAGCACAAAGACCAGCCCTGACCACTAACTCACTCCAAAATTTCCCCTAAGAGACCAATCACTGGGTAACCCCTCCTGCAAATTTGTTAGAAGCAGCAGCAATATCCCCAGTTCCCAAGCCCAAATGACTTGCACCTAGGGCCTGGGGTAGCACATGGAGATATGAGGATAAGTGAGTGTCCAGGGGTAAGTATGAGGAGAACAGACCCAGGGAAAACAGATTGGTGGGAGTGGGGTGTGTGTGTGAGAGAGAGTGAGAGAGTGAGAGAGAGTGAGAGAGAGAAGAAGCAGCAGCAGCAGAAGCAGGTTGTAGGGCGAAGGAAAGTCAAATAGCTCTAGCAGCAGCACTAAGAAAATGGGGCTGATACTGGATTCCTGCAATACCATGAACAACTCCGAAGTCTCTCTTGGCATGTGGGGGAGATACGTGGCCCCGGATTTTCTTTACTTCCTAATTAGGTTTTACATAGGCTGGAGACCATGTGTGCTTCTTTAGCTTTTCCTGAGAGCATATAACCAGGAGAAATACAGATAGTAGTTCACATTCACAGGGAATATCTAAAGGTCCGTATGTATGCATTCTCACTGCCCCCTATTTTTAGGAGGCAGAAAGGGGAGAGATCACAACTTATTTAGAAACAAGATAACTGGAGCCCAGAGAGAGTATGTGATCCGCTTGAGGACATATGGCAGGCAGAGACTGGAGCTACCATAGTGCCATTCCCTCTCAAGTGATGAGCTAGCAGGCTAGAGAAGTCAAGGCTGATATCCCAAGACAGAGCTGGTAAACATATTGGTTTTTTTTTTTTAAATTTTTTTGCCCATGCAGCATGTGGGATCTTAGTTCCCCAACCAGGGATCGAACCCGTACCCCCCTGAAGTGGAAGTGCAGAGTCTTAACCACTGGACCGCCAGGGAAGTCCCCAGAGCTAGTAAACATAACAGCTAGGATTTGGATTAAATTTCTCTGACATCAAAGCCAAAGCAGTGAACCCACATACTATGTGACCTCACCAGGAATCAACCCTGACCCTAGGCCCATCCTGCAGTGTTGGAGGCCATGGGATCACGGAGAACCTAGCCCTCCTCTGGGAACCACCCCTAACCTGAGGGTTGGCTGGGAGCACAGTGAGCTACTCAAGGCATAAATTGTAGGATCTGGGGCTAGAGCTGCCCGCTTCAGTGGCTAATACCAGGTAAGTGAGGGGTGCTATTAAGCAGGGGCAGAGATGTCTGCTTCCTCCAGAGGTAGCTCTTAGGCTCTCTGGCTGAAGTAGGAAGAGCCTACAGAAAGGTGCAGACATCTATTTCTTTAATCCTCAAAAATCTAAGAGATCTTGTTTCTGGCTTAAGGGCCTGGCTATAGAGAAGGCTGTACCAGGCCCTAGTGGCCTCTGAAGTCCTTGGGCTACTCCCTAGCTGCGGGGCCAGGGCCTGTGAGCACCATCTAGGAATCCCAAGGTCTGGCCCCTGCTTGCCCTCAGCAGGAATCCTTCTCAACTCCCAAGGGCAACTTGCCTCCAACCTGTCAGCCCTGGAGGGTATGAACTGGATTCTGGTGGTGGTGATGAACACCCAGCACCCGGTGGGGAGGCGAAGGCCCTTAGGCAGCCACAGACCAGAAGCAGATCCTGCTCCCCAGGCCACCGGAGGCTCTCCCCGCCTGACATCCGTGAAACAGCAGCGCAGGCAGGGGGCAGGCGGCAGCCAGAGAGGCAGCTGCTCTGCTAGAACTGGAAGTCCAGCATTGGAGCTTTGGAGGGAGAGGATTTTACAGGCTTGGGCTTTGGATGGGCATCCCTGTCCAATTTTCTTTCCTGACCAGAGACAAAAGCAGATGACAAAAGGGGGGAGGGGACAGCAAGGAACCCTCGGTTCTGCTTGGGAGCACAGCCCTCGGGCTAACCCGTTTTGGCTCTGGTCTCCACCATACACCTACTTTCACTACTCCACTGTTCTGCTTTCAAAGGGTTCTCATGGCAGGCAAAGCCTTGGACAGAAATAGAATCTTTTATAGCTAGAGTCCAGCCAGCTTTCCCTAAGGGTGTGTGCCCCAAGAGACCCATGGATGGGTTTTAGAGGCCGGGGAGAGTGAACACACTCCAACGCACTTCCTGAGCAGTCCATCAGGCCCCCTTCATACCTCAGGGTCCAGGAGCAGTGAGGTATACTTAACTGAGACACTCGGGAGGGGCAGGGAGCCCAGGCCAGCTCCCTGGGGCCTGCTGCTGCCTCATTCCTAGCCAGCACTCAGTGGCTCACCAGCTTTTGATACGGGCGGGCGGGGTGGGGTGGGGTGGGGGCGGGGCATCCTGTCTTCTCAAGCAAGACACTTACAGACAATTGTTAGGGAGCTCATCCGGGAAGCTGAAAGGGAGAGAGGAGTCTGTGTGCAGGACAGCCCGCTCCTGAATACTGCCACAGCCTGTTACCATCTGCCAGCTGCCAAAGTCTGTGGAGAGAGAGGATCCGGGCAGGGGATGGTCCACTGATCTGGGGCAGAGAGGAGAGAGAGGGGAGATGATGTAGTCAGTCATATGCCTGACAGGGGAGGCCCTGGAGGAGTGGGGCGGGGAGGCTACGGTGGCCCTGGGACTGGGCCACAAGGGTCTGTTGGTAGAGCAGCTGTAAAGTTAACCATTTTCTCCAAAAGTACAAAAACAGCTGGACAGGTTATGACCAAGAAAGAAGAGTAAAAACCACAAGGCAGGGACTTCCCTGGTGGCGCAGTGGTTAAGAATCTGCCTGCCAATGCAGGGGACACGGGTTCGAGCCCTGGTCTGGGAGGATCCCACATGCCACGGAGCAGCTGGGCCCATGCACCGCAGCTGCTGAGCCTGAGCTCTGGAGCCCACGAGCCACAGCTGCTGGGCCTGCGTGCCTGGGGCCTGTGCTCTGCAGCGAGAGAGGCCACTGCAATAAGAAGCCCGAGCACCGCAATGAAGAGTAGCCCCCGCTCGCCGCAACTAGAGAAAGTCCACGCACAGCAACAAAGACCCAACGCAGCCAAAAGTAAATAAATAAAATAAAATAAATTTATTAAAAAAAAAAAAAGACCATAAGGCAGGCTCAGCTGTGAGGACAATGTATCATGCAAAGACTTACAGGAGCAAAAGAACAAGAGCAAAGCATGGTGACAAAGGTGAGCCAGCAACCAAAGCCTGGGATCAGGGCATGCCTGCTCTGGCTGACAAAGCAAGTCAAATCTCAACAGCACCAAAAGGAGGGGAGCAAGGCTGAATGCCCCAGGAACCAGGGAGGCAGGATCACCCCACACTCCCTGGCATGCAGATTGGCAGGGTGGCAATGCAGAATCCAGACCACTGAGGTCCTATGGTAGAGATGGGAGAACAAGCCTCTTGGGGACGGTGCGGGCGGTGACCTAGATGGAAGAGGAAGGTGACGGGAGCCCTGAGCCCTGCCCTCTTCCTCTGCAGCGCCTTCCAGGAGCCAAAGTTCGTATTCACAAGCATCGACCCAGCAACCTCACTGGCTATGCCCAGGAGGAAGGAATGAAATCAGGCAGCCAACTTGACAACTTCATCAGGCCTTTTTCAAGCAGAAGTTTGGGGGGTGCGGGGAGAGGAAAGCTGTATTGGGAATCTACCACCACCTCCCCACTCACAGCCCAGCCTTCTCTGCTGTCTCTGGACAGTAGCCCAGCTGGTGGGGGAGGAAGGGAGGAGACAGGGAAACATCAAACAAGGCCCTTCCATCAGCTACCCCAGGTCCCAATCCCCAGAGGCGCATCATCTTTGATGCTTGACCCTTTGTTCTTTAATTCAAGAATAGCAGAAGGTGCTCCTGTAGGGACCCAGAAACAGAGCAGAAGCATGAATAGTGGTACAGGGGGTGGGATACTGAAAAATTAATTGACCTTGGCCCACCCAGTTAGCTGGAGTCAAGGGCTCCTAGACTGAGGTGACAGTCCCCATGGGTCCCCAGGCCAGCTTATCCTCAAGTAGTTGCCAAGTTGAGTGCAGCTCTGGCCAGCAATGCATCTCTGCTGATCATAAATCATCTTTTTTTTTTTTTTTTTTTTTTTTTGTGGTAGGCGGGCCTCTCACTGTTGTGGCCTCTTCCGTTGCAGAGCACAGGCTCCAGACGCGCAGGCTCAGCGGCCATGGCTCACGGGCCCAGCCGCTCCGCGGCATGTGGGATCCTCCCGGACCGGGGCACGAACCCGTGTTCCCTGCATCAGCAGGTGGACTCCCAACCACTGCGCCACCAGGGAAGCCCTCATCTCCTTCTTAGAGGAAGGAAAATGGCAGCCCAGACAGGTAAGGACACTCACCCAAGGTTCCACGGCTACAGAGTGCAAGAATAGATTTTTAAAGCCAAGATTGATTACAGATTTGCTGTACAACAGAACCACCTTGAGACCAGGGAAAACAGCTAGCTTTCTACGTTAAAGCCGCCATGAATCGGACCCACCCTGCAACATAGAGACTTGCCATATTCATTGCTCCTGCTCTACTCTGGAAGGTGTATGACAGCAGCACTGGGGATGAGGACAGGTCATGGTCTGCTACCTGGTGGAAGCCCTAGTGACTGACAAAGCAGGGCTTCCTTCTTCCTACGTGGAGAAACTTGGTAGGGTTCAGGCCAGACACTGTATCTCTGGTGATCCTTAACTGTCTAAATCAGAGACTACTGCCTACATGCAAGAGCAAGCTACATGCCACCGTGTGGTGCCTGCCCTGTGCTTCCCCTGGGTCACGCTGGAGTCTTCAGTCAATGCAACCCTTCTTGAGGGCAGCCTGGCTCCACAAATCTCACCTCCTGCTCAAACTTTAAGGTAAGGCAGAGTTTCTTTTCCAGTTTTCGGGAAAATAATTGCTAAACAGCAGAGTATTGAGGGAATGAAAGTAATGTGAAGTACAGGAGGCTGGGTAGGACGAGGGACTTATGGGGCAGGGAACATGGGGGTTTCTTATGCTCCTAACCCCACTCCCCAGGGCTATCAGAGACTCACACTTCCAATGGGAAAATGACAGATGGAATATGGTTACAGAGAGGTTCCCAGCACGGGCTCTTGGTCTCCTAGGCTAGTCCCTTGTCTGTACTTCCCGTGTGCAGCAGGTAGCACCCCCAGGCAAGAGCCATGCTTGAAGCAGCCCGGGGACAGCTGTAGTATGGAGTAGGCAGCACAGACAGCAACAGGGCACATGATCCCAGGGGCCACAAAGGAATCTCAGCAAGCAGCCAACCATCTTTTGCATCTTTTTTCAAGAGTGAGCACACAGGCTCCAAATGAATCTTCGTATTTGAGGCTTTTGTCAAGCAAAGGGTTGCGAAGCAACCGTTGCGTTCCTGGGTTTGAGAGCAAGGGGCTGTGCTAAGCAAAGAGGTCCTCGTAAGTACACATCTGGAGTAGCTGGCTAGAGGGGGCACCTAAAGATGACAGGGAACAGTCACGAAAAGGAAGCACCTGCACCTGCCGAGTGAAAGAAGGAAGGAAAACTTTCAAGTTAGCCTCAGTACACAGGTAACGCAACCAGCCTTAATACAACCCCATGCTCTTCTGCCCTATACCCTTACTCGAGTGCAAACACAGCATCTACCTCCACCGACCTACCTACAGGACTGGAGGGCACATGGGGCCAAGCTGCCCTCAAACTGGACAACTGTGGAGCTGACAGTGCTTCCAAGGTCATCCATCCACATCCCGAGGGCCCAGACCTCTGCCCAGGAGGTTGGCTTCTTGGCAACATTTCACTCCCTTAGATGGGTATGGCCTAAGCCCCTGTTCACAGCACCAACAGAGCTAAATGGCCCCACCCTGCCCCACACCTGCCAGACCCCTGCTGTGGGCCAGCTCAGGCAAGTGTGTTTTAGCTGGTCCTTTTGGAAGGGGGTACAGGAGTATCCATACAAGCAGAGCTGGCCCAAGCCACACAGCTGAGGCGAGGAGAAAGAGGTCTGGCCTGAGGTACCTGATCTGGCCTTTTACCTAGCTGCCCAGTGCCCTGACACAGCCCACAGTCCTTCAGAAATGAGACTGATAAGGACGGGTCTTAACCACAACTACAGTTTACTGAGCATTTCCAGTACTCATGGAAAGGATAAGTATTACTATGTGCCACGTATTTTGCTCCATTATCTCACTTAAACCCAAACTTATGGAGACCAGGATCATTACTGCCACTTTAAAGATGGGATAAAAAAGACTGAGCTCAGAAGGGAAGTGTTTTTTGCAAGTCACACAGCTAGAAGTGGCAAAGCTGGGATTGAAACCCAGCCTGACCAAAACCCATGCTAGCCGCATAGTACACTGATCTTCCTTCCTGATAAGAGATGGTGGAGGCCTCAGGGATTGACTCGGGGATGGACACTTCCAACTTCCAACTGGAATCAAGCACAGAGTTTCTGATCAATGGTTGGAAAAGAGGCCTTCACGTGGTCCCTGGATGTGAGAAAGGAAGCACATGGAGTAGCTGGCCCCATTAGGGAAGCTGGCCAGAAGACAAAGCTAGCATGTAGAAAGAGGCAAGGAGAAAGAACCATAGGGAAACGGAGTTGGAACCTTGAGGAAGCTGGGCCTGAAGGCTGCATTTTTCCAACGTAAACCAACGGTTTTCCTTTATTGTTTAAACTCTTTTGAGATGGATTTTCTGTTACTTGCATCTAAAAGCACCTGATCTGACAGCTCACAGAGAGGGCTTGAAGGTTCACAGCTAGGAAGGACCTGGGCAGTTAGTTGCCCATTTAAGCCTCTGATGATGAGAAAAAAGAAACCCAAAGCTATCAAGTGACATGTCTGAAGTCATGCAGGGAACGAACATTTGAGCCAAGACCCAGAATCCTAGCCTTTCAGAGAGCTTGAATGTCACCTAATTTGTACCTACCCCCCACCACTACCAAGCCTCCAGGTGATGGTCCCACAGCCTCTGCCCAAGTGAACGCCTCCAGGAATGGGGCCTTACGGAAGAATCCTTCGGTTCAACAAGGGCCTGACTCCTCGGAACAAGTGACTTCAAAAATGGCTAGGACAAGATTCATCAGACTTGAAGTCATCAGTTTCCCTCAGCCTGGACTTCAGGCATTGGGGTATGTGTGTGTCTGTGTGTCTGTTTGTGCGGGTGTGTGTGTTTGTGTGAACCAGGGACCTCTGCTTTCCTGCAGCAGCCCAAGGAGAAGTCTTTTGGGGCTCTAAGTTTTCTCTTATGGGTCTCAAGCTGGCAATGCCTTTAGGCTTCTCACCGCTCATCTCTGGTCTGAAGCTGTGGCCCCATGGGAGAACACATCAAACGTTAAGACAGGAACCCTATGTGTTACAGAAAGCAATCTGGTTTCTCTGCCTCATTAAACATAGCCGGGGACAGAGCTCATTGCTCATAACAAGCAGTTAGTAGGTGGTGAAGGATGGGGAAAGAGCAGCTATCTGGGCAGCAGAGTTGGCACCTATGTTGTCACTTAGCTAACCAACCAGGCCGCTGGATGTCCCTCAGCCAAGTTCACGTGCTCTTCAGGCAGCTTGGCTTCCAGCTGGGCTCAGTGGTAGCACCATCCCTCCTCAGGCACAACAGTGCTATGCTAGCAACCCCCATCCCTAAAGATGTCTGACTCTGGAGCAGAGACCAAGACTACACACGGTGCGGGGCGCTTTACTGACCAGGGCTCAGAGAGGCATGTGAGCACTGGTCCTGCCTCTTCCCAGACCCCAGCCCTACAGGTGACGAGAGATTTAACAATGGTCCAGAAACGCAACTCAATTAGAAGCTGCTGCAGTAGCAGCTAATGAAGCAAAAGGGCCACCAGTCTTGCCAGTGAAGGGTACGGGGTTGGGACTGGGTAAGAGTCAGCACCCCACAGAACTTTCTTCTGAATCTGACACATAGTTCTTAGCTTTGAACAAAGCTTCACCAATTCTTTTCACAGGGAAGTCCTACCTTAAAAGAGAGATTCTTGTAGAACTTGGGAATGTGGAGCATAGGAAACCCAGAGAATTCACACTGTAAGGGGAATTTCGGCCGTCACAGATAGCTTTACTAAAGGGTTTCTTTCCACACAGTTCCCTTTGCTGCACTAAAAAGCTGATTGGCTGTCGTTACCTTAGAGAAGCAGGAAAGCTAATGACAGAATCCCTCAGGCACTTTAAGATAAGAGAGACTAAATTAATTTTAATGTTAATGGAAATATGTAATTATAATTAGAATGCTCCAAATCTGAATAAACTAGTCTTTCAAATCCTGTGGCAAACAAGCAGCCAATCCAGAACCCTGTCACCTGGCCAGCCCAGCCTGGCTACAAGCAGGCACTCCCAGAATAAACCAGCAGAGCCATCAAACACCTCACAGCAGTCCACCTCACGCCTTTCCAAGGCGCCCCATTTTGGCCCAGTTATTCCAGCCTCCTTCACCAGGCCCCAGCTCACAGGGCCGTGAGATCAGGAGGACACCCCCAATCCTCCTCAGCCTCCTGGACCATCCTGGACCAGCCATAAGCATCTGAGCCCCCAGTGCAGGCAGATAACCAGTGGCGAGACCGAGGGAAATGACCACGAGATCGAACTAGGATCTTTTGTCAGGAAGAAGGGAATATGATGAAAAGCTACGGTGTATGATGGGGTGCTGCCTCAGTGGGGGAGCCCCCAACAGCTGGACAGTTAAGACCAGGGAGGACCCAGGGGACAGGAGGAATCTTCTGGTTTCCTTCCCAGTTGTCCAGCGATGTTGCACAGGCAGAAAAGGAGGCAGGGACGATGAGCAAGAGCTCCGGCCCAGAAGAGGAAGGGTCACGCAGTGCCGCAGCAGGCCCACAGGGGCCCTGAGGAAAGCTGCAGAGACACGCGGGGTGGCACAGAGGATGCGGATGAGCACGGCACGTGGGCTTGTGTGCTCGGCACCCTCTCCGCTCTGCTGCCTCCACCAGACCCGTGGGGACAGAGAGGTTGTGGCCTTTATTTAACAGACTCAGCTACAGCGCTGACGGACATGGCAGTGCTCCGAGTTGAAGGGCTCACCTTCAGAGGTGAGCACACGGGACCCCTCTGGACAGTGCAGCTCCACTCACCTAGAGCTCATCCGCTCAGCCTATGTGGGGAGGGTGCTCGTCCCCACCTTCCTCCATTGCTTGCTTTTGCCCAGAAAGGAAAAACCAGAGGACGGTGATGGGAGGAGAGTTCCCAAAGTTTCAGGGTTTTCTTTGTAATAAGCTTGTGACCTTTGGGTTCAGTTTCCTCCTTGGTAACATGCCTGCCACAAGGAAAGACCTGAAATTCTGGAGCAGTATCCAACAGAGCTGGGCTTGAATCTAGAGTGGACTTCAACGCTCACGATCTTTCTGCTAAATGTCTTTTCTCCCTGGAATTTATTAAGGACCTCTTAAGTCGCACACTTCTTTGTTCTCTTCAGAAGGGCCAGACATTCTCAAGGCCTTAGAAAACAAAGTAATTCACAGGCCTCCTTCCCTGGCTGTATGACATGGAAGGAGTGTTATGGGGTCAGCTAGGAAATGCCTCCCCCAAATGCCAGGCCATCCCTCAGCCCTAAGCCCCTGGCCAGTGCTCAGCTTTAACCTCACCAAGGAAACATCAGTTCTGCAGCACACTCCAGCCACACCTGTCCATCCTGGCTGAGCTGCTCCCTTTCCAGACGTGCAGGCCAGCGAGGCTTGCCCCAGCCACACACATCTAGCCTAGCTCCCTACCGTCTGTCCTCTTCAGTGCCCCACCCATTCAGACGAGAAACGGGAGGGCCAGAAGCACCTCGGAGGATCTAGCGCCATCTCTTTAATCAGAATGTGAGGTCCACAGGGGGGCTGAGACCTGGCAAAGGCAAGAGGGAGGGGCAGCCCCAACTCCCTGCCCATGACATCACAACTACTACACCTTCTGGATACCGATCCGCCAGGGCTCTGGGAAGGGGGAGTCTCAAACCCCTCTGCGAACCAGCTCCTGCTCTGTATCCAAACATTAACCCATCCTCCAAACAGTGCGTGAGCCTGCAAGCTTGTTGATCCCCTCTGGCCTCCTGGGTACACTGCCTGCCAGGCCGCATGCCCTGGAACCCCACTCTCTAGCCTTACTAACAGGGAAGGGCTAGCCACCCCACCATTAGGACTTTGGAGGTCCTCACCTGGGCTTGGGGACCTCCAGGGGACTGCTACCCAGCCTGAAAAAGTTGTCAGAATGGTTCGAGGACGAGGAGCTGGAGGACTTGGCTTCCACCAGTGCCTGGTGGGAAGGCAGGCGGTCCTCTGAGGGCTGCGGCCGGTTCCAGAGCACACTCTGTGGAGAGGATGAGTGGCTCTTCCTCCTGCAGTGGAAAGATAGGGCTGCTGGCTAAGGGGCCACCTCAGGCAAACCCTCTGCCCACCTGTACTAAATCTCAGGGCCCACTTTTTACTTGCACTGGAAAAATGCCACATGGGAGTGGGCATACTTCAGCACTCCCTTGGGCTCGGCCACGGGCAGCGAGAGCTGCGTCTTCACAGAGGGAATGTTACGTCTGAACAAAACTGGCCTGCTGGCCTCAGTGCACATGCTGGAAAACAGATTCTTATCTAACACTTTAGTAACTGACTTTCCCTGCTAATGTTATAAAAAATATTGAGCCCTTTGTCCACGGGGAAGGTCATCTCATTCTCAAAGGAGCTGACCCTCAACAAGCTCCCAATTCCCAATCATTATTTTGTACTCACCCCTTTTTTCTTTTTCTAAGCTGGCCCCCCACCTCCCAGGCAAATGATACAAGGGAGCACCCCCAGGAAGTCCCTTTAACACCAGCGCCCTCCTCACCCGACCCTGTCTTCCCAGCCCTGCAGCTTCCTCCTTCATCCCGCAGTGCCCCCCACCAACCAGATGGCTGGCCTCTGAGGCCCAGTAGAGACAGCAGGGCATGGAGCTCAGCTCTCAGGCCTACTGTCGGGGGCCCCTTTGTTCCTGGGGCTCCCTGGAGCTGGAGCCCTGGCTCACAGCTGTTAGCAAGCTTAGTTCCAGCCTGGCCCTCACCAAGCTGCCTGAGTCTGTGCTCCTGCAGGGACCAGCTCCACGGTCTCATAGGTGAAGCTCCCGGCGGCTCCTGGGGAGCTCTCCATGACCAGAGAGAAGTCACTGCCAAGGCTGGTGGTGCTGCCACGATCCTTCCGTCCTGAAAGAAGCCAGTGCCATCAATCAGCACAACATCTTCTCCTGCTAGGGGTCCCCCACCTCTTCCACACAGAAGTTTCTAGAACAAGCAGTCCCTATGTGGTCTATAGTCAGAAAGATATACAGAGGAAGTCTGCTGGGGCCCATGACTCACTCAGCATGCAGATATCTTCCACAGTGAAGCCTGCATCCCGGGCTGGCAAACTCTTCCTCCTATAAACAGAAGCCAGGACAGTGAATTCCAGATTGGGCTGAGGTCTCCCACGTCCCCCGCATGCTGTCCACCTGGGAAAGAAGCTCCAACTCACTGGAAACTCATGGACACAGGTTCTACCTGAACTGTTGCAGAAAGGCCAGGCCCACTTCTGAGGCCAGCAAAGCCTGCCGCCTCCCTGTCAGTGTGGCCCTCAGAGTTGAAGTCTGGTCCAGCACACTAGGAGCTTGGACTTGGAAAGCAAGCAAAGACACCTACTCTCACAGGGGTCCTAAAGCAATTACCAAACAAGACCCCTGTGTTTGCCAGGCTGGAAGCAGACTCTGCTCTGTGGCGGTGGGCTGTGCAGACACCCCTCTGCAGCAGCACAGGGAAGGAAGCCATCAGCTCAGGCAGGAGAAGCTTCTGCCATGGCGGTGGCATGGGGAGCTGGGAGTCCCCCTATCCTTGGGCTGGCTTTTCCCTGCATCAACGAGCCCTGCTCTCCTGGTCACAAGATGAGCCTCTTCAGCTGCTGGCCCTCCCCAGGTACCCCTACCTGCCCTCAGAGGGAAGGCAGCGACAGGAAGCCAGCCTGCCAAGCATGCAGGGAAGCAGGGCAGGGATAAGGCAGCGAGCAAGACCCCCACCGCCCTAGCACGGCCCTTCCCAGAGCACCTTGCTCCCAGTGAGAGCAGGTCTCTCCTTACCTCTGTATCTTCAGAGCAGAGAACTCCTCAGAGATGATATGCTTCAAAAAATTGAAGCAGAAGAAGAAAATCTGAGAGACCAAAAAGCAGCACACATGAGAAGATAGCAGTCTCCAGGGAGAAGAATCTAGGTGGCAGAACTCCCAGGAGAGGGCAACCAGTGACCCTGGTCAACCCCTGATGGACAGCAGCCCTGCTTTGGGGACCCTGCTGGATATTCTGGTGTAGAAACAGTACGGGCGGTAGAGAAGGCTTAGGAGGTCGGGCAGGTGTGCCTGGGCTGGGGCAAGGAAGGAAGGGCGTTTCCTTCCTGAGAACGCAAGAGGGTAAGCCAGTGATGTTTCAAACCATCTTCAAACTGAACACACATGTTCTCAAGCTACTGAAAAGGAGGAAGAGAACAGCTTCTTCTCCCTCTCAGCCTCTCCTAAGAACCCCAGGGAGAGAGGCTAACAGGGAAGGACAGCTGGGAGAGAATTTCGGGGCAAGAAGATTAATGGACACAGCAGGAACACAATGCAAGGGCAAGAGATCAGATTTTGTAGAAGAAATACCGGGAAACAGTGGTTCAGGAGAACCAGGGCTGAGGGGCAGCCACTGCCTGGCCCGCGGCCTGCACTGTTCAGAAACTGTAAGGGGCAGGACGAAGTCTGAGGCAGGCAAAGCCGGAGGAGGCTCCTGAGCTCTGACCCTGCCTCCGCATCCCCAGTTCCGTGAGCAAGTTCTCTCTTCTCCCTCCCAGCCAGTGCCCTGGTCCAACGGGCCTCTGTGAAGTGCACACAATGCAGTCTCTGCAGCTGATTCTGCAAGGTGTGGTCCATCAACCCCTCACTTGGAAAAACACCCACAGGGTATCCCAGAGCCCCGTAAGATCTCCTCAAAAAATAAAAAAGGAGGGAGGGTGCCTAGGTCAGGCCAGTATGAAAACTTTGTTACATAACTTTTTTGGTGGGCCGCCCCCGCACAGCTTGTGGGATTTTACTTCCCTGACCAGGGATTGAACCTGGGCCCTTGGCAGTGAAAGCACGGAGTCCTGAGCACAGAGTCCTAACCACTGGGCAGCCAGGGAAGTCCCTGTTACATAAAATTAAATAGGTGTCTTCACCACAGATTTTTTAGTCTTTAATATGCTAATGTGTTCTGAGAGCCTCAAAGGCAAAGGAGGGATACGGAGCTGTTTAACAGGCCCCAGCTTTTTGCATGTTTTTAAAGTATCAGAGTTTTGAGCGTGTGCAGGGAGGAAGGGAGGGCTAAGAGAAAAGCCCACATCCTGCCAACCCTCCCAGCTGAGAAGACCCTCTTGTTTATGTTGAGACGTGGCCAGGGTTTGAGTCCAGAATCCACTGGGCTCAGCCGCATCCCCTGCCCAGTCTCTGAAGGTGGAATCTGGCCTGCTCTGGGGACGGGGAGACAGCATGGGGGTCAGCAGGTACTGGAGCGCCAGCTCCAGCAAATCTCAAAATGAGAGGCTGCAAAGGGGCTTTACGTGCGGATTTCAGTGCCAAAGTCACCACCTCTGACAGAGCTCATGGAGGCCTCTGAGGAACAGGCTTATGGGCTCTGCAGTCCTGACGGATGCAATAAGTGCTCAAACGAAGAGATTTAGAAGGGGAGAGGAGCAGCTGAGAGGGAGGAACAAAAGAAGAATGCACAAGATAAGATGCCCAGAAAAGAGGCAGCCTCAGGAGGGTGAGAAAGATGCCTCAGGAAAATGGGGGGGGAGCCAACACTGCGTGCAGCTCCCACGCTGGGCATCTGGACTCATTCTCTTTGTGAGGCAGCAGAATCGACACCGGGAGACTCAAGGTTAATCACACTACCCAAGGTCACCCAGGTAGTAAGTGGCACAACTGGGGTTCACACTCAGGTCCGACTCCAGGTCTGTGTGCAGGGAAAACAGGCTGAAAACAAGAGTACCGAAGAGCCAAAGACTAAAAAAGGTAGCTAAGGATAACGCGTGGACAGGGCAGAGAGGAGGAAGGAGGGACAGCGCGCGGACAGGAAGGGGACCCACAGCCCGCTGGCCGGGATTGGTCGGGGGGTGAGGAGCTGGCAGGACCCTGCTTGCACGGAAGGCCCTGGGGCTTAAAAGCTGCCGAGTGGGTGTGATGAGACAAGGGAGGACAGGGAAGAGCTTCTGGCTTTAGCTGTGAGGGTGAGGGGCACAGGAAAGCACTTGTAAACTGGTTCCAGAGCTGAGTGCAGAAAACAAGGTCACTCATAAGAAGGCCGGCACAGAACGGGGGGAAGAGGACTGACACACGAAGGTCACAGGTAAGTGTTCTCTCCGCGAGAGAGGGGGACTGAGGCTCAGAACGGGGCTGCTGTGCCGGTGCTTTTCCTGCCACTCTGCCTGATCCCAGCACTCACCAGGCAAGGAACCGCCCCCAAAGTGTGGACACCAAACAGACCATCACCCTGTCCCTCTTGGGGGTAAAAGAGCCCGAGCCCGCGGAGCCCTGACGTGTGCCCGCAGACCGTGAGCAGTACCCACCTCCTCTCCTTTGCTGAGTCGATCTACCAACATGTGCCTGAAACAAGAAGGCGAGGAGGTCAAAGCGAGCACCTCCCAGACAAGAGGATGAAGGGGGACCAGAGCCACAGGGACAGCCCATGGCTTTGGCACCCCAGCCTCAGGTGGGCCCGACCACACCTTCTCTCTTCCCAAGGGGGTGGGACCGTCTTCGCCTTCAACCCTGTCACAGGGGCCACCACACCCACGCACACAAAAAGGCGGTTCCCAAGCACTGGAGCACCCCACAGCCCGACAGTTCCCGAAGGCTCACCCGAAGAGGAACCAGTCGTAGGCCACCGTTAGGTAGAGGATCTCAGCGGGCTTCAGGGATGCGTGGATGAGCCCGTCCTGGAAGAGACGGCCCCAGATCAGAAAGAAGCCTCCCCACGACGGCCCCCTCCTGGCCTCGGGGGCTGAGTCACAACCACCGCCCCCGTGACAGCCAGGCTGCCTGACAGCCCCCGGAGCGGGGTTAAACACGACACCTGCTCTGGACACGTGAGGTCCCTCGCTCCGAAGCCTCTCTGCTTTCTGGAAACAGTCCCAGCACTCACAAAGGGCCTCTGAATGCTCCCTGACCCCACGGCCCAGCCCGTCCATACTCACAGCCCACAAGGAAAGGCGCAGGAGAGAGATGAAGAGGGGCGTCCGGTCCCAGCCTGAGATACAGTGTACTAGCAGTCCGCTGTCATCTACACAGGAACGTGGAACGGGAGGCCCAGGAGAGAAGCAAACACGGGCTGATGAAAAGGGGATGTGCCACCGCCCTGGCCTGGGGTGAGAGCCAGGCCACCCCAGAACCACGGCCTAGCTCCAGAGGCAGGCATGTGATGTTTCTGCCAACCTGGCCACAGTGACCGGTTCAAGGATGGGCACTGGATCCAAACTGAGGCAATGAGCGGGAGCTCTGGGACAGAGGCCGTCTCCCTCTTCTGGAGGGGTTAAGATGGCAGGAAACAAGTCTGGAACGATTGCCAGCCATGAAGCTAACTAAACAGTGGGTATGAGACAAGGAGAGATGCTTTGTGGTATTTGGCACCTGGCTCTGCTCTTGGGCCTTCTTGGTTAAATAAATGAATACATTTCCATTTGTTCAAGCAAGTGCAACCCCACACAGGTCCTGACTGATATGGAGGAACCAGAGTCAGACCGCCCTAGGACACTGAGCATAATGGGCTCATCCAATCAAAACAGTCAAACTGGCTGGAGTACCCTCTGGAGAACAGGCCCTCCAGGGGCTCTTGTGTGTGCCCAAGAAGAGGCCAGGACTGACTTTCTCTCACCTTTCTGAACCAAAAGAGGCCACTGCAGCCCCACACAAAAGGCTGATGCTCAAAGCTCAAAGGCCAGCTGAATGTGGTTCAGATGGTAACAAGTTCATAATTTTGGGCATGGAATAAATCTGCCAATGACAAGGGAATCCCCAAATCCTTCTCCCATAGAGCAAAAGGCCCCAATAAACACACATTTGCGATGTCAAGACCTGGGAACACCCAGAAGATCCTATGGCTTGAGGCAAGCAGAGGCAGACTCACCGTCACTGTTAATTATGGAAAGCAGCAGTTTCAGGTAGTTTTGTGTTTGTTGCACCAGATCCCAACTCTGTTGGAGAAGAAAAATAAAAGGATTCTATGAATAGGTGTTTAACTCAGAATGGAAATTTAAAGTATTTTTAAAATAAAATGCTATGAGTTATTCTGGGGAAACAAGTACCCCAGGCTCATGGTCACAGGCCACAGGTCCCAAATCCCAGACTATCTGAAACTTCACTTTTCACACATCCCTGCACCCTCCCCCACGGGCCCCTCCCTCAGTGTGCTCTGACCCAACGTGCGGGTGAGGGAGGGGAAGCCATGCAGGAGCCTGGGCAACCCACAGCCCCACAGCCACAAGCAGCAGCCGGACACTAGCTCCTCTGAGCCCTGGGCTCCAGGCACGGCTGTCTAGGGAATTAACAGAAGCCGACAAAGAGCCCTGAGCCCGTGGCCATTGTCACCAAATGGAAAGAGCCACTTCTTTATCTGCCATCACATCACAGAAACCAAGGTAACCATCAACCTTCTCATCAATCAGGTTTCACACGTTTTTTATTGCTACTCACTGCATAGTCTTTTAATGAGTACCAAATGCAGTCTGTTTGGTAAACAAAAATCTTTTAAAACAGGAGGCCCACGAGGTGGGAGAGCAAAAACAAGCAAAAGCCATAGAGATCGGAACCTCTGTTCTAGCCCAAGCTAAAGGTCCAGACTAGACCCTCTGAGAAACAGTCCATTTTGGAATCCGGAAGCCCACGGAGGGGCCTGACCCAGTTCTGTGGCCCCCTCCCCCTAGCTGGGGACAGTCTCTTAACATGACTGCTTCTCAGTGTCTGGGGCTGTGCAGAGAAGGCGGTGAATGCCAGCTAGCGAGAGCGCTGCCCTGGGGAGGGTGAACACAGCACCTGTAATTGGAATGGTTTTCCCAGGAACTTAAACCAGGCTCATTTACCTGACCTTCCCATGGACCCTGGAGAGTCCTGACCCACTTGCAGGAGCTGCAGAGAAAGCCGCTGCAGTGCCGTGCTGATAAACTTATTACTACCCGTGGTGGCTCGGGGGTCTCTCTGCTCATCTGGTTCAACGTGTCAGACACACCATTGCCAAGAGATTTCCTCCGCGCTGTGATTCCAGCGGGTGAGGAAAAGCAGGAGAGGTGGGAGCTACGCAGCAGGTGTGCAGGGAGGTCAGGCTGGCTGGGGGAGGACTGCAGCGGCCGGGAAAGGGCAGGAGGTGACCAAGGACGAGCCCGCAGGGCAGCTCCCACAACGGCAGCTGTTTGAAGGGGACATAAATGACCAAGGAGCGGCGGCAGACTCCGCTGGCCACCGTGCCCAGGGCTGGGGCAGGAACCACAGCCTGGGGAGCGCTGGGTCGGCAGAGGCCCAAGGTCACACAGCTAAGCTGAGCTGGGGTCTGGACCCAGGCCTGTGGTCACACACCGCACTGTAGGAACACCTCCTCAGATACCAGAGTGAGAAACAGAAGAGGACCTGGGACATGCATGAAAATCTAGGCTCACCTCTGACTCTCTATGTGTGCCGTGACAAAGCCTCCAGATACAGAGGTGAGTACCACATATCGGCCTTACGTTTCCATGCCTGGTGCATGCCTCTTTCCCTGGCTGGCAAACTCCTACTCATCCTTTAAAGGCCCAGCCCCATTATCTTCTCTACAGAGTCTTCTTCTGTGGCCACTGGTCAATACCCCTACCACGCAGGTGATGGTTACGCTGTTGCCTCGGAATTTTCCTAGACTGAGCCCAGTGAGGGCGGAGGCCATTTTGGCACGTCTGCATCTGTAAGGCTTCGTGCTTAGGGACTAGGAGGTACCTGTAGAATGTTCTTTCACTGACTAGTCATAGTCAGGGGCCAGGTTGAGGAGCAGCAGCCACTGGAAGGGGCCTTCGGGCACAGAATGAAAGAGCAGAGCTTTATGGAATTCCATCTGGCTACACAGAGGTCAGCAACACCCACACATGCACTACTGCTCGTGCAATGGGAAACAGTGGTGTGAACGTGACTGTGGGCCTGGCCCTGGGACACAGCAGTGAACACAATGACTCCAGCCCTGAGGCTGGAGGGAAGGGAAGGCAAAGTGAATTGCTGCAGGTGTGCTAATTAAAAGGAGCCCTCTAAGATGCTGCAGGACCATGTAATTGGGGAGGTGAGCCTAGCCTGATCCATGGGGACCCTTAGGGAAGGCTCCTTGGAGATGGTGACATGCATGTGAGAAAAGGGGAGGGAAAGCACACGAGTGTTTGCGGCAGAGAGAAGAGCATGTGCAAACCTGGAGAGCATCTTCCCTAAGGGGTGGAGAGGCGGTCAGGGTAGCTGGAGGGGAGGGAGTGGACAGCCAGTGAGTCACAAGAACAAGCCTGGACCACGTGGAGCTGGGTGGACCACATAAGGGTCCTTGGACTTATCCTGAGGGAAAAAGGAAAGTCAGTGGCAGCTGTGAAGGAAGGAGTGACAGTGACGACCCTGCCCCATCATCTGAGTATCGTGCTCTGCCAGGCCCTATTCACTATTTCCAGTCGGTTGCCCCTTCAACGTGGACCCACGCTCAGCCATGAGACGATGGTAGCCTGCATTAGGCCAGTGACCTAAGGGATGGAGGCAAGAAGGACTGGGGAGTTCCCCTGGGGCAGAGACTTACAGAACTGATGGGACCAGCCATGGGTGTTGGGGAGAAGAGCCCCCATTTTTCGAGTCTGAGCATCTGGGTAAATGGTGGAGGGCTCGGGGGTGCTGTGGGTTGTGGCCAATTCCATTCTGGGCAGCTTGAGTTTGAGGTGCTTGCATGACGGGACACTTGGAAAAGGAAGTAGGTGTGGATCACTGAGAGAGGCCAGGCCAGGCCGGGCCCAGAGCCCGGATTAAGGGGAATGTAGATGCAAGCATACAACCTCTCTAGGGATGGGGGAGAGGAGGCACATCAGGGAATTCTTCTTGGAGTGGACACTCGAGCCAAATCCTGAAGGCAGTGTGTCAGCCAGACAAGAGGAGGCTGGGAGGGCCAGCCAGGCAGAGGGAACAGACATGGGGAAGGCAGTGGGAACAATGAGGCTACTTGTCCTGGCTGAAGCAAGTGGCAAGGACACTGCTAATGGCCTGTGGGCTTGTACAGTGGGCTAAACGTGGTAGAGAGATGGATCCATCCAGTAAGACTGGGGACCCTTTGGACTTCCTTGGTGGTACGGTAGTTAAGAATCCACCTGCCAATGCAGGGGACACGGGTTCGAGCCCTGGTCCGGGAAGATCCCACATGCCGCGGAGCAAAAAAGCCTGTGTGCCACAACTACTGAGCCGGCGCTCTAGAGCCTGTGCGCCACAACTACCAAGCCTGTGTGTCACAACTACTGAAGCCCATGCGCCTAGAGCCCGTGCTCCACAACAAGAGAAGCCACTGCAATGAGAAGCCTGCGCACCGCAACAAAGAGTACCCCCGCTCGCTGCAACTAGAGAAAGCCTGTGCACAGCAACGAAGACCTAATGCAGCCAAAAATAAATAAACTAAAAAAAAAAAAAAGACTGGGGACCCTTCCATGGCAGACGATGACAAAGAGGAGAGAAGCACAGTGGAAATAATTTTAAGGTTTCTATAACCAAATCAGGTCAGGCAGCTCTGCACTTTCTCTGATGGAACACGCATTTAAAAGGTGAAATGAAAAACGTCACTAAATCCCAGAGCTGGAAAAGCAAACTCCATGAGGTCCTCCTCTGGAAACAGAACTCCCTGGTGGATGTAAATCTTTCAGTGAGTCATGTTCAGAAAGCTTTGATTTTCTGGGCCAAGAAATCAGGAGAGACAGTTCAACAGGTAAGCAGCTCCTCCTTTCCCAGGAGGTCAGAGGTCACAAGCCAGGCCTTCAGGTGTCTGCCTGAGGGACTTGTGGGGCAGGCACCAGGGGTCCCCTCACCTGATACTGGCTCCAGTCAATGTTCAGAGAGCAAGTCAGGAAGTCGGGGATGCTCAGAGGGGCATCAACGTAGTCCTGGGGACAGAAAGACACTGTGAGATGCAGGCTGTCCACCAGGAGAAGCCAGGATGACCAGGCAGGTTGAGGCCCTGAAGCTGTGGCTACCACAGGCAGGCAGGATGTCCCCCCACAGTGCTCGCCTTCTCAGGGCCAGATGCCTGTGCCACCCTGGGAGTGACGGCTTAAAAATCAAAGGGACCAGATACTGCTGCCAAGTGGAGCTTTTCAGTTGGCGTTTGAGTGTTTACGGCTGACACAGAGGTGATCAGCGTATTCAGCCTCCGGCAGCTCCTGGGCTGCTCCCACCCGCTGAGGAGGAGCTCTTCACACAGAGAGCGGAGCAAAAATGAAGGACTTTTCCTACCTTTTCCCTGAAAACTCTTTTAAAGAAAAGGAGAAATTAAAGGGGGAGAGAAAAGTATATATGATGAGAGTTTAAACATGTACATACAAGGAGGAGAGAGGGAAAAATAATGAGACTCATTCAGGGAAGAGCAAAGAAAGGAGAAGGGTAGCTGTTTTCCCCAAGAAGATTACTGGCTGGTTTCCCTTCACAAACAGAAGACCCAAGCTGATGAATGTTATTGCTCATACCTGCTTCCAGTTAAAAATGAGCCCTTCAGCCATGTAATCCCGATCCTTATATTCCTTGAAAAATTCACAGCCTGGAAAAGAAGGGCAGAGTCGTGACACCACCCTTCCTGGCCCAGTGTCCTGAGATGCCCCTGGGTGCTGGAGGACCGAGGCGGCCACCAGCGCACACACTCCAAAGTGGGCCCCAGATGACATGAGTGGAGGCTGGACCAGGTGAGCGGGAGCCTCCAACGCTCCTTGGGTTTCTAGCCAGAGACCTTCCCGATGAGGCAGCCCCTGCCTGCACACCTCTGTGTCTCTCTCCCTCTGTGCTCACTGGTTGTTGGTCACTTTTCTCTCATTTCAGGTCCCTCTGCCCTACAAGTCCCTGAAGTGCCAACAGCCAGAGAACAACAGCGCGGTTTACAGTTTGAGCCCTGGCAGCACCTTCTCAGCAACTTACCTAGTTACGGAGGATCACCCTCCCTCCTGTTACAGACACACTTCAGAGATACTGAGGGTTCAATTCCAGACCACCGCAATGAAGCAAGCCACACGAATTTTTTGGTTTCCCAGTGCATATTAAAGTTATGTTTACACTGTATTATAGCTTATTGAGTGTGTGATAGCACTATGTCTAAAAAATATATATATCTTAAATTTAAAAAATACCTTAAATAAAAAATACTTCAGGGAATTCCTTGGCGGTCCAGTGGTTAGGACTTGGTACACTGCTGTGGGCCCCAGTTCAATCCCTGGTCAGGGAATTAAGATCCTACAAGCCACACAGCACGGCCAAAAAAAAAAAAAACAACAAACACTTTATTGCTAAAAAATGGTGACCATACTCTGAGCCTACAGTGAGGTGGAGTAGTAACATCGAAGATCACTGATCACAGGTCAGCATAAAAAATGGAGTGATAATGGAAAAGTCTGAGGTATTGTGAGAACTATCAAAATGTGACAGAGACACGAGGTGAACAAATACTGGGAAAATGTCTCCAATAGACTTGACACAGGGTTGCCACAAATGCTCAATTTGTAAAAAATGCAATATGTGAAGAGTAACAAAGCGAAGAGCAATAAAATGAGGTCTGCCTGTGCCAACCCCGCAGGCTTTCAGTGAGGACCGAACATCGTAACATGAGAGGAAGGACCATGGACAGTGCCTGAAATGGGACAGGCGCTCAAGAGACACGTCCTTCTCCAACAAACCTTGCCAAGATGTGCTTTCTGTATCATTCACCAGAAAAACTATAAGAAATACCACCAGGGTAAGACCTCAGGAACAGAGAGAGGAGTGGAGAGAAAAGGGCCTTGGCAATGTTCCCAGCTTCAAACCTCAGCCTTTCATGTAGCCCTGTGACTGTGAACAAGTTAATTTCTCTAAGCCTTGATTTTCTCATTTGTAAAGTGATTAAGGATGAAATGAAACAATACGTATAAAACAGCTGGCACAGCACTGCGACAAGGGGCACTCAGGTGACAGCATACTGGTGCCATCCTCATGCCACCGCTGCAGTGAGAGCCCCAGTGCAACCCTGCAGCTCAGCCTGGGGAGAACGAGGCCTGCACTCCTCTCAGTTCCTCCACCAGGACCAACACAAACTCCAGAGGGCACAAGGCTCTGGCCACAGGTCCAAGTCTGGTAAGGTCCCCAAAGGCAACAAAACAGTTGCCTGAATTCTGTCAAAGTAGCCACAGGCCATAAACATCCACACAGAACTCTCCAGCTCCTCTTGGGACATGCTCCTGTCTGGGGCCACACCAGGGAAGAAAGGAAAGGTTCTTTCATGGAGGAAGGTCTGGAGACTTAGCCTGTGTGTTCTGCAGACCTGGCTCTCACCACCCCACACACTCCTGCACTCGAATCCCCCAGGCCTCACTGTGGATGGGGAAGTCAGGAATCAATCCTCAGCTCTAACACTTCAGCGGATTCTTGGGTGCCTCACTGGGAGAAAGAAGAAATATAAATATCAGACAGAGGCCCTGAGCTTATGAGCCTGGGAGTAGGAGGGACACCAATCATTCCTCAGAACTCCCGTAAAGTGCTCTGTTTTCTCAAACTTGAGCGCTTGAATCAACACTGCAGGCTCCAGGCCGAGCTCTGACCAGCATATAATGCAGAAGCAACTGTGAGAAACGGAGAGAATTAAAGCAGCCTCGGTACCCAGGGCAATGCCTTGACATTCATTACCTAAACAGGCTTCTGAGCCTGTTGAGAGGCAAACAGACAGGACCAAAAGTGAAGTGAGAACGGACGCTCGCTCAAGAGGGAAACAAATTAGACTCACGCTGGGGAGTTTCTGGCCCCGTCTATCTTGGTGCCCTGAAGGAAGTGCTCCCAGAACACTTCCCGTTTTCAAGGGCTAGTCTAAGCCTAAGTTAGTCTGACAGAGAACTGATACCACCGCAGTTCCTGTCTGGGCTTCAAAGTCATCAGAGGGCTCAACAGAGACCCCTGAAATGGCAGCAGAGTGCATTTCAGGACTTGGTCTGGATAACATCAATTTTGTTATGAAGTATAATAATGTAGGCATGTAAAGAAATTTAAGAACATGAGCAGAGGAAGCAAGGTAATTAAGGTAAGCAAGTTAAGTGCTTCTCCTGTCCCCTCATCTGGGTGTGCAGCAGCATCTCCTGCCACCTAGGCTTCTGGGTTTTTACTGATGCCTCTTAATCTCCCCTCAACACCATACACAACTATCAGATGCAGTACACGATATTCTGGGAAGAATGGGGGAAAAAAATTCACAGAGAGATGGTATCATCTTACCATTCTGGCGTTTTCTTTTCTTACCATTTTGTGTAAGCACTTTTTCTCTTACATAGTTGAGATTGTAGTATTTAATTTTCTATCTTGCTTATTAGCACCTTAAGCACTTTTCTATGACTATGTAATATCTCGTTCTACTATGGATGGCTGTACCATCAGTTACATCATCATTATTCTGATTGATGAAAACATTTCCCATGTTTGGCTGGTATAATCAGACATGACGAACATCTTCAGGCCCAAGCTGGCTGGATTATGGCCTAATGAATAACTGGGTCAAAAGGTGTTAGTTAATATTTCAGGAGTCTTTTAACAAGCTGCCCAACGACAGCAGAAAGGATATTGTGCTACTGTTCTGGAGCAAAACGATTTTTTTCTTTTCTTTTCTTTGTTTTAAAGTGTGGTGGTTTTTTTTTTTTTGGCTGCTGCCATGCGGCATGCGGGATCCTTATTTCCCCAACCAGGGATCGAACCCATGCCCCTTCAGTGGAAGCACGGAGTCTGAACCACTGGACTGCCAGAGAAGTCCCACAAAACAATTTTTTCTAAGCCAAGTGTTACTGAGAAGCTGAACACAAATAAAGAAAGCTGACGCGTCGCTCCTCAGCCAACTCCGTCCTCTCCCGTGCATTCGGCAGAGAGTACTTCAGTCTGGGGGCCCCCAGAGCATCTCCTGAGAGTCAGGAGCCTAGTCCGAAAGCCAGCTTTAGAGCTACCTGAGGAAAGCTCCAGTGCAGACCCCCAGCGGGGACATCCCTGTTTTGACACATCTCTGACGCTGCCGAGCCCACGGCATCATCATCATGGTTCTGCATCTGCCGAAAGCGAGCCTCTCCTCCCAGGCACCCGTCACTCGGCCTGGTGTTGGCACCTGTCAGGGACAGGTCTGGCACTTCGCCCAGAGTAAGCATCATTAACCACATTTTATGCAGGATGAAACTGATGCTCAGAAGGGTTAAGGGACTTGTTCAAGGACACAGTGCTGGGACTGGAATGCACGCCCAGCCCTACATGCCACCAAATGCCAAGCTAGCAGAGAAGAGTGAGTAGAGACCCTGAAGGAGGCCACTGTAAGACAGCCAGGCCACAGGGGTCGTGGTTTGGATACCACCAGCTCACACTGATGAGGATATACCCTCTGCCCACGAGGCACTGGATGAACTTGAGGTTCTAATGAGAAGGCCTTGTGTCTCTACTGCAACCTGGGGTCACCAGCCTGCTCTCTATTGGCCACATGGCTCCAAGATGAGGAGACAAGATCCAGCACAGGACTGAAGGCAGGTGCTACTGCTGAGGAGCAGGAGAGAGGTTTCAAGGAGAAAGAGTCCACTTTCTACTGTCTGTTGACAAAGTTTGGTGCTGATGTTAGGGCTCTAATACCTCCTTGAACGAGCAGGTGTTGCCAGAAAGAAAGCTTAAACGCTACAAACTGGACTAACGCAGCTTCAGTATCTAGTGCAGAGAACACTGCCCTGGCCACAGGTCGCATACAGTCTGTGCCAGAGACAAATGCAGCCAGCTGTGTGCTCACCACGGTGCTCTGTGACACGGTGAGGCCACCAACCACGTGCAACTGGGGACAGAGCACTTACATCCTCACCACGGCAACAGCCAGTGCAGCATAGATGGTTGCTGACACAGAGGACTAACGATGTCACTTCACACCGAAACAGCACATTAGCTGCCCAGAGCACGCCGATAAACCTGACCTCACCTAATCCGCACAACAAGACCCTGAGCTAAGCCTCACCAACTTCCAGTGATACCTGAGAAAACCTGAGGCTGGGCGAGGTGAAGTAACTCGCTCAAGAGCGCAGTAGGGAGGACCTGAGCCAGGACTCCATTCCTGGGCCGCTCCCAGGGGAAAGCCCCCCTACACACACACAAGGACAGCGTCCCACCCTAAGGTGAGAGCCAAGGACCAGCAGCTGCACTGCCCTATGCTGAGCGACAGCAGATCCTGTCCGAGAGCTCCGGGGCATCTGTGCACCTAAGTGGCCAGGGCCTGAGGAGGGCCTCAAAGAGCCCCAGTCCTGGGAAGCCTGTCCCTTGACCAGACCCTGGAAAGAGCCCCTACCTGGATACGGGATGGAGAGGAGAGTGAAGTCGGCATAGCGCTGGGCTTTGTCCACCTTCTCGGAGGAGGTGACACTACAAGACAGGATACAACGTGTTACGGCATCACAACACATGCACACCATTCCCCACAAGCATTACCACAGCTCAAATGATCCTCCTGCTATAGAAACTACTGTTCAGAGTTAGGAATGATGCCCTCCAGGGGGCTTACTTAGAACGACTAAGAAATGCGACTGCTCTGCCGCCTCTACCCCAAGTCACCAGGTGAGAGCGGCGACTCCCCCGGACCCCACAGCACCGGCAACGCAAAGGGACCTAAGCCGCGGAACAAGCTTCCCCCAAAGGCAGCATCGCCCCCTGACCCGCAGGGCGGAGTGAGAAAAGAGCAAAATAACAGAGACACTGTCCAAAAGGGGCCCTGGGGCGGACTCTCGTCTCCACCTTCTCCGGCATCCACTGCGGACACTCCCAGACAGCATCGGAGAGACACAGGACTACTCTGACAGACAGCGGGATGTGCAGGTGACTGCAAACTGCTGAGCTGTAACAGCCTCAGTGTGGCTTATTTTCTAAGACATACTTGGCAAAATTAAAAGTGGCTATTATAAAAAATAAACAACACTTTGGAAAAATTCCCCAAATTTCATCACCCTAACCCAGGTTCCATTTGTTTCTAATTTTGCCTTACCGTAAGAAGATTTGTTCCACACAGGACATAAAAATTGAGTAAATACTGATTTTTTTCGATCCACTTTAAAAGAGACTCTAATCTACCAGAGATGGCGCAGCAGCAGCAGAGCACACGTTAGAGACCCACGGCTCCCTTGGTGCTCTCCGCACCACCCCAGAGAAAGTGACTTAACCTCTCCGGCTTCAGTTTCTCCCCTCCAAGAGGGAGACACTAGAACCTCCTTGCAAGGAGGGCTGTGTGAGGATACAGGGAGAGGATGCACGAGGCCTGGCACGCAGTGTGCCCTTGTAACTGCTCTGTGCCATCTCCGACCCCACGAGCCTGTGAGCACACGGCCTCCACCCACTTCGCAGGGGGTGCCCTGCACTCACTTCATGCCAAACTTCACCTTCTTGTTCTCCACCATCAGGTCACAGATGTATTTCACTGACAGGTACCGGAGCAGCTTGATGTCATACCCTCTGACCTTATCAAAAAGATGCGTGTCGGAACTTCTGAAACAAAGAGCCAGAGGGAGAAGGTGCACTGCACATTCATCCACAAAAGTCTGGGGCGTGAGGGGCGCGTTCAAGGAAGTCTAGTTTCTACAGAAGAATTTCTGATTCTCTTCTCCAGAAGACAGAGGGAGGGCCAAGAGAGGACAACCGCTCCCAGGGAAGGTGACTTTCTAAGTGATTATCCCGCTCTCTGGGACGCATTTCAAAGAGGAGCGATCTGCACCTGGGGCGGAAAAGGGATTTTTGGCGCTGCTTGACGTGAAGCCAGAAGACTCAAGATAATCTCTGAGCTCTAAAAAGCAGCAGGCTAGTGGCTGATAGAGTCTTTGAGCCTCCATTAGAGTTTATCTCTCTCCACCCCCCTCCCTTTTCCCATTTATGACCGTTTTTAGCCATATGACTTGCTCAAAATGTAACAGATTGAAACTTTCACTGGGAGATGGACTTTTTAGAGCTATGTTATCAACTGATTGTGAAATATTAGCAAGTGAATTCCCTCTGCTTAGAAGGCCGCTGAAGCAAGGAGAAAGATAAAATTTTCCTCATCTCCAGGCTGCCTTTTGATCAGTCATACAGATAAAGGCAAAAGCAGAACGAATAAAGTCACCATTAATTTTTTTTTGTAATGCCCACTGCTTTGCTGTCCCCAGCGGACTCCTCACCAAGAACAGTGTGCACTGTGGAAGATGGCCTGGCTGGGGCAGAGGTCGTTTGATCCCGGGGGAAGAGCCAAACATTCTTGAGCACAAGCCAGAGCCACTGCTCTTGGAACTAACGGGCAGAAGCCGGGCACAGCGAGATGCCTTTTCATGCACCGAGCCATGATTTTGGGCGGCTGATCTGACCAGGGTGCTGGTGTGCATTCCAGAGACACCCGACACCAGTTAAAGACTTTCCATGTGGTACAGACCATGCAAAGGAGCTTTTCGAAAATAACCATTACTGCCGTTTTCTAAAAATATTTGGAAAGGAGGTAGGAAGAGTGGGAGCCAGCCCCCTCCTTCCCTTTAAGGGAGCCTAAAACATTCCTCTGTAGCAAGCGCCTTATGGCACCTATCACACAGCTGTGGAGCTCCTAGTGCCCACACCTCTCACGTGGGGACCACAGTCCTTGCTTGCCCTGTGCCTCGGGCCGGGTGTGCTGTACATCACCTGGTAGGCCAGACGTCACACCCTGGAAACCGTGGGGCTTGAAGACACACAGATGTCTGGCCTGTGTTTTGGGCCTGGGGTGCCAGGAACCCCAGGGTTGGGGCACTCGCTCTGCAGTCCTGGCGAGCACAGACTGCTCAGGTAGTCCATAAAGTCAGCTTCGGGTGAAGCTACAGGGTGGACTTCAACAACCCTGTTGCAGGGGCGTGGGCCTGGCAGCAGGAGGAAGGGAGCCAATCCACTCACCTGGACCACTGATGAGGTCATGACCGTCAGTAGGAAAATGGCCACCACCGCTCAGACGCCTGCCCCCAACCCAAGCCCAGACCCATAACCACCTGGCACTGACCGAAGCGCACAGTCCTCCTCCGTGACATCCTCTGCATCTGCCCAGGCGTCGTCTGCACCCCCTGTGGGAGAAACCTGCGGTCAGCACTGAGGCCAAGGCAGGGGCTCCACCCAGGGGCTTCCTGACCAGTCTCCCCCCGGCTACACCCTAAGGACCACACTCCTGCCTCTCTCAGCATCCGAAGCCCCACATGCCTGGCAGTGTTCATCACCCCCAGCATCTCCTCAGGTGACGAAAGGAGGGCCCTTGCCCATCCCCCAGCTTGCTGCCCCTCCACCTACACCACTGCAGCCCTAGGTGGCTATTCTCCACCACTGGCTTCCTGTTCTTAGTCAAAGACGGTGCAGCTCAACGCTCACCTGAGAAAATATAGTTGTAGCCAGTGCGTCCATACAGCTCCCCCCATCCAGCCAGCGTTGCCGACCTGCAAATATGCTGGGAGAGAAACCGCATTTTCAGGGTCAGGTGGTTTTCTGGAGTTTTTTGGTTCGGTTTTTCCCAGGCTTTCTTGAGATATAATTGACATATGACATTGTGTAAGTTTAAGGTGTACAACACACTGATCTGATACGCTTACTTATTGCAAAATCATTACCATCGTAGCGTTAGCTAACACCTGCATCATGTCACATAATCACCACTTCTTTTTTTGTGGTGAAAACATTTAAGATCATCTCTCTGTGCAACTTTCATGTATCTAATACAGTATTATTAACTATAATCACCATGCTGTACATTAGATCCACAGAACTTACTCATCTTACAACTGGAAGTTTGTACCCTCTGACCAACAGTCAGGTGGTTTTCTGAAGTGCACACAGTGGGGGGAACCCCTGGGGACCCTCCAGGCCAGGAAAATGGGTGCAGGAGCACTGCCCAAAGTCTTCACAGCAGTCACTCCGAAGTATGCCTAGAATTTAACCTGCAGCCTCTGTCAAGAGGTTCTCTCTCCCAAACGAGAGGCACCAGAGTATCACTAACAGTAATGGGCAGATTCAGTGGTCATCACGCATGTACTTGGGTAAGATCTGGCGGTTATCACATGTGTTTATGAGTACAGGACTGAAACAAGTACACCACCTTCCCACTGGATTTACACAAGCCCATGAGAGAGATGTCGCAGGCGGCAGGCACTGTTGCTGCTTCACAGATGAAAAGACGAGGGATGGGCGCAGGGAGGTGAAGTGATGCCTAAGGTACCACAGAGGGGGTTGAGCTGGGACCTGATCGAGCCCACCTCCCTCCGGAGCCTGCGAGCTGACTGTCACTGGAACTGCTTAGCACAGTGGAGGGCAACCTTTGCAGCAGGAGGGCCAATTATGGGAGAAATGTTCGGGTTTTTTTTTTTTTTTTAAAGAAATTTTATCTTCTCTCTCCTCTGTATCAAGGAAGCGTAGTGGCTTTAACTGTGCTTAACTATCCTTTTACTCTTTCCTCATCACTGAAGGAGCATTTCAAGAGCTAGAATTCTAGAAACCAGGCAATGGGCATAAACTTCATTATTTAACTTTAAGGCTGAATCTTTATAAATTGTGTTTGATGAGATGCAGGAGGAATGAGAGGAGGTATCTGGTGACCCCACGGTCCAGTTACAGGCTGAGGGAGGCTGTGAGGGTGGCTGGGAGGTTACACTAGGCAGGGGGAAGGCATTTCTGAACGGGTCACGCAGCCTGGTGGTGTAAGGAGGGTCCCTGGAAAACTGCAGAATACTGCCCAAGGGGTCTTCTCCACTTGTAAGACAGGGGGAAAGAAACGGTTTTGCTGCTAGGAAAGGGGTGTGGTGGGAACTGGCAGGTCATCACCCGGCTTTCCGAGGCAGTGGCAGCCTGGGGCAGGGGGCAGGTGATAGAAAGGCAACCTGCTACAACCCGGGTGGGGTGGGGTGATTTTCCAGTGCCGGGGGCAAGAATGCAATCGTGGGAGGGTTGTCCTGGAAGCCTATGAAGAAGGGCTCGGGCAGAGATTCCTGCTGGCCTGAGCAGGATGCACTCTGCGGGGGCTGCTTCATTTTTTCTGGGTCCAAAAGCATTTTGAAAATCTGATGAAAATGATAAACTGTCTCTGGATAAAAATGTACACACCAGAGTTTACCTACATCTCCAAGTCCATCCATGGACCCATCTCCAGCCCCCGAAAAGAGGCCCTACTCTGAAGAGACCAACTCAGTAATTAGGAACTGCAGCAGGGAAATGTCAATCCTCAGGCTGAGGACCCCCCAAGACTCTCATGGTAAGAAGGGAGGTCTGATTCCTGAAAGCAAGACAATGGGGGGTACGTGGTTTGAGTTTGACTGGCACATGTTATCATGCCCACCCTCCCCCATCATCCAAGCTGCCGGGGCCAAATCTCAGTCTTCTTTGCATTACTCTGTTAACTCTTTTCAGAGTGGACACACACCCCTTCCTTCCTTAGCTGCTGAGCTCTGAGTTCTTTTCAAGGTTCAGATTCTTCTTTCTGCTCAGTTCTCCCATCTCTTTTCGACCCTGTCTTTTTGGTAACAGAGGCAGATACACCTGGCACAGAGGACTCATCAGATGGAGAAGAATGGGAGAGAGGGCCAGCTCCCCAAGTGAAGAACCAACCTCTGCAGGAAGGTCCCGAGCCGGCACCTGGGGGAAGCTGCACCCCAAGGCAGAGTCTAACACCTGACCTTGCTCCCTGGCCTCACGGCTCCAAAGCATAATCTGCCATTTCTGTACTTTAAGCTTCCCTCTTGACTGAAAAAGCAGGATGTACTCTGAATGCTCTCCACTTACCTAATTAGGAGTGGCCTCTAACTCTGCATGAGAAACACGGCTCTATAGGATATGCTAATGTAGTAACCAACTTTAGCACACGGAATAAAAGCAGCTGACCTCTGCTCCCCATCTCTTTAAGGGAGGAAACAAAGAGAAAGATGACCTGTTCAGCTTTTAATTGCCTAAAACCCAGATACAGATGTTGGGGAAGAGAACGGCATGGGAGAACTGCTTACCCTTAAATGCTTGAACTTAGTTGTAAAAGAATTTTAATAAAATATATCATTTAACCCAATATATCCAAAATATTACTATGTCAACATATAATCACTTGAAAAATTATTCCTGTTTTACATTTTTTGGACTAAGTCTTCAAAATTCAGTGTGTATTTTATACTCACAGCACATCTCAACTAGGATGCTTTATTTTCAGCATTTAAAGGGAAACGTAGTCCTGCCCCAAAATAAAGTTGTGTTTAACCAAAAAAAATCTACATTGCTTCAGCTATAAAATGGAAATTAATTGAAATGAAATACAATCAGACATTTAGTTCCTTGGCTGCCCCAGCCACACTGGACTGAATCTGGAGAGAAGCAGGCAGCGGGCACTTCTGAACATGCCTCCCCCGCCCCAGCCCGGCAGGGTGTGCTGGTAGCAAACACCGCTGTCACCGCACTGGCTAGGGCCCGCTGGGAGCCACGTCTCTGAGGATGAGATCCCCACCTCACAACAGAAGACCCTCTCCTGCCCTTCGCCATCTCCCGCTCAGCTGCTAGTTCACAGGTCAACCTTCCCCACTCACTGAGCTCCACAGGGACAGGCCTGTCTTAGTCACTTGTCCCCCGAGAACCCAGCAGAGCCCACGACCACTTTAAAGAGCAGTGTCTTCCCACCTTCCCAGCTTGCACGTACAAGCTGGGTGGGCACTTGCTAGGCGCTGGGAGGACAGCAGCAAGACAAGGCCTCTGCCCTCAAAGGGATTACCGCTGAGAGGAGACAGCAGACTTGCAAACACAATAGGAATAAAACGTATATAAGGTGTTTGATCCCTGCTTGGGGAACTAAGACCCCACAAGCTGCACGGCATGGCCAAAAAAAAAGAGAGGATAATCCCTCCAACTCTTTGCCCTTCCTCTGAAGTGAGTTGCCTTGGGCTCTTTCTCCCAGGCCTGCTGCAATCTCACTGGACTAAGCCAGTCAATGTGGCACTTTCCCAAATGCATTCCGGAAAGTCCCTTCCTCAAGGTCTGCCGAGTGAGAAATAGCAGACCTGACTGCACTACACAGGTCCCTCTGCTTCAGGACTTCTCAGAGCCTTTCCTATGTCAGTGCACACTTACCGATGTACCTCTTGAATCTGGAGCTTGGGGGTCAGGCCAAATCTAGTAACGTGCTATCTCTCACCCTTGTTTGACAGGGAATGCTTTGCACAAGCACATCCTTAAATTACTATTCTGTGGAACACACTGTGGGAAGCACAGGTTTGAGTTTTCCTATGTACATTCTAGCAACAAGCACTATGCCCCACAGAGCAGTGTGTTATAGTCCAGTTATCTAAACCGGAGTTCCCAGAGCTTACAGCAACACGGAACTTTCCGAAGGGGAAGAGGGAATAAATAGCTTTAAGATGATCAATTTCTGGAACTTGACTTCCAGACATACTTTTCCCTAAAATCGACCTGTCCACGAAAGCCTGTGGTCAAGTCTCCTTTCCTACCCCCCCCTTTCACATTCCCCCTTCTTCCATTTTACGAAAGGAAGGCACAAAGGGATGGAAACAAGCCCTGTGTCTCTCCTCCCCACTGCCCTGCCCCAGTCCTCATCTGCGCTGGGAGCCGGACTATAGTCCGACAGGCACCAAGACCACAGCGCATTCAGGTACATATTGGACAACTAGAATAGAGAGCCTAAGGGACTTCCCTGGTGGTCCAGTGGTTGAGACTTCACCTTCCAGTGCAGCAGGTGCAGGTTCGATCCCTGGTAAGGAACCTAAGATCCCACATGCCTGGCGGCCAAAAAACCAAAACATAGAACAGAAGCAATACTGTAACAAACTCAATAAAGATTAAAAAAAAAACAAAAACAAGAATAGAGAGCCTACACCCCTGCTTCCCTCCCCTGCTCCAGGCTCTCTGTTAGTCCGTTCCTTCTGGATTAATCTTTCTCAAAATGCTATTTGCATCTTGTACTTCCCTGCTCAGAAATCACAGTGGCTCTCCCAGCAAACCTAAACACCTTGGCCAGCAACCAGCCTCCTGCATTCAGTCCCTTCCATCCTCGGCTCCACCACGTACCTTGCGCTCCCGTCAGGGAGTCTCTCGGACTTTGCGCACCTGGCTTCATGCTCCCCCAGCACTGGCACCTGCCTGGAACACCCTCCCACCCTTCCTCCAAAGCTTGCTGCCTAGTCCTGCTCACTTAATGAGGCCATGTCTGTCAGTCCACACTGCTGCCCATCTGGGGTTTTTTTGTTTTAATTTTTGACCGCATTGCACAGCATGCAGGATCTTAGTTCCCCAACCAGGAATCGAACCCACACCCCCTGAAGTGGAAGCACAGGATCTTAACCGCTGGACCGCCAAGGAAGTCCCCAACTGCTGCCCGTCTTAAGTGGGTTCCTCTGACACCACACCATGTGGCCCTAAGCTGCAGTGTGGTAACTTGAGTGCGTTTTGCAGTTAAGTTTAAACCCCAGCTCTCTAGTTGTGTAAACGTGGGGAAGTTATTTAACCACTCTGAGCCTTCGTTTCATCTGCAAAATGGGAATATCAAATACACCAAAGGATTATAAAAAGAGGTGAAATGAGACCATAGTGGGCAGCCAAATTAACAACAGTCACTAGAATATAAGCTTGATAAGGGTGCGGATTTTTGTGTACCTTGTATGCTGATGTACCTTGAGGCCTGAACATGACACACATTCAATAAATACTTGGTAAATTATATGACTGAAAGAATGAACAAACAACAATGTACTTACTCATCTGATCTAATCTATTCATAAACTTTTGATGTAGGCATGATTATTTTTCCCCTTTTATAGAGGAAGAAACTGAGGCCTTGCACAGGCAGGAAGTAACAGAGCCGGGATCAGAACGTAGGCAGTCTGGCTCCAGGACACAGGGTGGGGTCCTCTGCTGTGACTGTCCCTTTCCTAATTAGACTCACCTTCAAAAAAAGTTGTATCAGAATTGGTCTGTTTCTCTGGCCTGCTTCCCACCGCACCAGGCACCCAGTAATCACCCAAACTTGGCTGGCAAAAGCCAAGAACACGAGACTCTACACTTTGCATTAAGCCAGGTACCCCATGAGAGGGTCTCAGGGAGTGCGAGGCTAAGGTGTGGTCTTACCTTGCCCTTGAACAGGATCACTGGGCAGACAAAACGTCCTCTGCACCTGGCCGTCTTGCTGCGGTTGACGAGGTCCTGCAACTTGCTCACCTGTACGGTGCTCTGAAACCTAAAAACGGGCAAGAGAGGTAGGTCAGTCTGCTTCCGCGTGAGTACTGTGTGCCCCATACTAGGGTTGTGTGTGTGTGAATATTCATTCCAAATTTAATAAATGCTCAGATTCCTAAATTCTAGATCATGGACACTCTAAGCTTTTCAAGAAAAGAAAAAAATGCTATATTATAGATAATAAAATGGAAGTCATCCTGATTTCAAAACCTTTAAGATTAAAAAAAAAA